CTGTAGCGCGGTCTGGGTGAATTAGATGTTTGGTCAAAGATTTCAGCGTGGTCAACAAACCCAGTCGGACTTGTATGTTCAGCATTCTCCGATGTTGGAACGGACATTGGCTTGATAGGCTTGGGAGATCCTGTGACACCTAGTGCTGCAAGAAGGTCTTCTTGAGCTTGGTCTCTGTTTGGAGGGGGCCGAGAGCCAGTAGCGGAATCCCGTGGAGACATCGTCTTATGTCCAATGGAGGCGTGCTCGCTTGAGGCCAAGGCTTGTTCGAGATTGTCCATGACATTCCAATCGCCATCACGGTCAACACCTGGGTCAAGAGCTTCCTCTTGAGGCTCCGGGTCATCCAGCGGCAGGTCGGGACGATCACGAAAGGCCACAACCTCCTCCAAGTTGATGACGTTTTTGTCGTTGTCGGAGAACTCGTAAAAGATGCAATCAGACTTCACATGGTCCCAATCCGCAGTCTGTCGCACGTTCAAGAATGCCTCGTGAGAGTTCTCGCACGTGAAGTACTCCGAAACGCTGTCACGGTTCCCGATCTTGGGAGGCGGTGGATGGGCCCCAATCTCTTCCGCTGCTTCGAAACTGGAAGGCAGAGCTCGTGTAACCTGGTTGGCAGGATGCCAATCTAAGTCATTAATGCATGCTCACATATGAGGTCAATGAATACTTACTGATTATGCCTAAGCTCAGGTCTGTGTCAATGGGATCATTGGCCTTGGGCCAGATCGCGCCTTCAAAGTCTGCCTGATCCCAATCATCCATGCCGAGATCGATCGCGTACGCATCGGTTTGGTACAATCTATGAGACTCAGGGGGCTCTGAGGCTGTCACGCTCGCGTTGCGGGACTCTTGCCTGTTCTTCCGCTTAGGCGGACGAGGTCCTTGAGCAGGCGATGCATGACTAGGGGTTGGAGTAAGACCGGGATCCTGTGGAACGACTCCGTACGGAGGGTAAGAGTGCGGTTGCGGCTGCTGCCACTGGGCGCTGGACGAGTCCATTGGACCCGGGGCCGGCTGGGCTGGTTGGGCCGGCGGCGGATACGCTTGAGGCCCATAAGTCTGCGTTGGTGCCTGCCAGCCTTGAGGGGGCTGAGAGTAACCCTGCGGTGCGTAGCCCTGAGGAGATGTTTGCTGCCAGTTTTGAGGCTGCCAGGGCTGTTGTTGGGGATAGGCTGGCGGCTGGAAACCCTGTGGTGGATAACTTTGGGGAACTTGATATCCTTGAGCAGGATATCCAGGCTGTCCGTAGCCGGGAGGTCCATTTGGTGGCGGTTGTTGTGGTTGATATCCTGCAGGAGGGGCGTAACGAGTTATCACTGGATTTCCCTTCCTTTTCGGAGGGTAGGCAGACGATCCGCTTGAATAATTAGCGCCAGCCTCAAAAATTGTAGAAATGAAAACAAAATGAAAATGAGCAGACGCCTACGCTTCGAAGCGCTAGTGCAGGGTAAGGATTTCTGAAATATTCTTACCTGCGCGTGGAGGGTGGCTGTCGCGGCGGTCCGCTTCCGTAGCCTTGCTGATACGGTTGGCCATAAGGAGACGGTTGGTAAGGCGGACGCTGGGCGTATGGCTGCTGGTAGGGAGCCTGGGCATAGGGAGGAGCTCCTCCGGGGACAGCAGCGCTCCAAGACATGTTGATCAAGCCAGCACAGAGGCAGGTGGACCTTCAGGACGACGAGAAACTGGAAGAGGGAATTCCTGGCTCTCGATGCAGATTTTGGAGCTGACACCACAGGAACAGCAGTGATTTAACAGAGTATCCACATCCCAGGCGATCTTATCAGAAACAAAGATGCTGAGTGAGGCGGCGAGTGACGCGGCTCAAGAGAATGAAAGGTGTGCAGATTGGTGTGACTTTCGTAGAGAAGCGGGTGAAGTGCGAAATGCCAAGTGCGACTGGACCACGGGAAGCTCAGCACAGCAGGGATAGGTCAACAATATAATTGCGGCGCCTACCAGCGGTTGTGCCCGAACGGTGAAAGTGTGCCAAAGGCGGAGAGAGGGAGAGAGGTTAGGAGCAATTGAGTAGACAGAGGAGATGGCATCAAAGGTGAGCGTTGCAAACGAAGGACGCAGGCATGCGATGTCTGAGGTGGAAGCCTCGCGGGTAATCATAAATCTCCGGTCACGTGACTGACTAAGCTGCCGCGGCAGTGCGGTCTTGCATCGCGCAGCTCGTCACCTCAGGGCACCGAAGAACCATTCAACCGCCCTGCATCACCACCGGTTCGACCTCGCCATGCCACACTGACCGACGACGATGATTGTCAGATACAGACATATACCGACAGCGAGTTTGTCGTCTTGTCCCTAATCCGAAACCCTCGCCGGTCAAGCCCCCACTGGCATCCGCCATCCAGACATGCCAGGCCTCCCGGGTATGTAGCTATGCGCAGCCGTCGCCCAAGAGAATGCCCCGCTGATAATTCCGTGTCTAGCTACGGTCGACCTCGATGAGTGCATATCAAGGCTGTACAAGAAGGAGCTTCTCGCCGATTCCGTCATTGAGGCAATATGCGCGAAGGCAAAGGAACTACTCATGAAGGAGAGCAATGTTGTTCATATCGACGCCCCCGTCACAGTCGTCGGCGACATTCACGGCCAGTTCTTTGATATGATCGAGATATTCAGAATCGGCGGCTTCTGTCCGGATACAAACTACCTATTCCTAGGTGCGTCAATATGCTTTCTGGGCTGCCAGCTGGCACGCGACCACGTCTGAGGAGCAGTCCTAGCTAATACGATAAAACAGGCGATTATGTCGATCGCGGTCTCTTCAGCGTCGAGACCATCTCTCTCCTCATCTGCCTGAAGCTGCGCTACCCCTCCCGTGTTCATCTAATCCGCGGTAACCACGAATCTCGCGGTGTTACCCAATCCTACGGCTTCTACACCGAGTGTTCGCGCAAATATGGCAACGCCAACGTCTGGCACTACTTTACCGACATGTTCGACTTTCTGACTTTATCGGTTGTCATCAATAATCAAATCTTCTGCGTGCACGGCGGACTGTCCCCCAGCATTCACAGCATCGACCAAATCAAGATCATCGACCGTTTCCGGGAGATACCGCATGAAGGACCGATGGCCGATCTAGTCTGGAGCGATCCTGATTCCGAGCGCGATGAGTTCAGCCTGAGTCCAAGGGGCGCAGGGTACACATTTGGCGCACAGGTGGTGAAGAAATTCCTCGAGGTCAATAACATGTCGCACATTCTGCGCGCACATCAACTGTGCCAGGAAGGTTACCAAGTCTTGTACGATGACCGGTTGAGTACAGTGTGGAGTGCGCCGAATTACTGCTACCGGTGTGGGAATATGGCTAGCGTCCTCGAAGTCAGCGATACCGGCGAGCGCTTCTTCAACGTGTTTGATGCTGCTCCGGAGAACGACGTACACAGGGCAGAGCAGCAGCAACAACAACAAGGAAAAGAAGTGCAAACAGAGTATTTCCTGTAATTAGGTCTCTGACGGCCGGTTACCTGGTGACTTTCGGAGGTCAATCCGGCGTTTGGGCGCATAATGCATAAGAGAGCTGGAGCATTAGCGGCGTTCGAGGGTACGGGATTGCGATTCCCACATCCTTCCTTTTCCTCGGACAGAAGAAGTCGGTGTAGAAGTATTTCCAATGAGTATTGGAACCGAAACCTTCTGTTAGCAATTATCACAACACTAAATATTGAATCGTCTACACAGATTGGTATTGCCAGGATCCATGAGTTTTACCCTTTCAGCTGCCCCGTCACCACGCTGCTCAACCTACGTAAGAATAGATTGGACCGGTGAACGAACAGCGGAACTCTCGAGTCCCCCGGAGGCGGTGCACGGGAGGGGCCAATTCCGACTTCATCGGCAATCATTGCGAGGGAGAAATAGCACCACGACCTGTGATTGAAGCCCGTTTTAACAAGGTAGTTGTCATCGGGTCCGTTGGGATCTGCTACGGGCATCCTTCAAAGGCTGCTACTATGGACGACAACGAGCATGTCCATCCAGATGAACGCTCGACTGGTCCGGGCCTGCGGGGCCAAGGGAAAGCCTCGGACCCTGGACGGCACTTAGCCAGTACCTCGTTGACGTGGTACGGGTGTCCCATCTGCATCACACGATGCGTGGACTTTCGCAGCCGCTGGCGACACATGGACCCCGTGGATGATGCCATCTAAACATCAAGGCTGACGATCGAGCGATTGGTATCCCCACGAAACGTGCGGTTTTCGCGATCCGGCCTCGCACGACCGGGAGGACTTCGTAATGGTGCTGAATAACAACAAAGCGATGATTGGTGTTCGATGGCTAGAATTAAGGTTATGCGGCTGCAGAAGCTTAAGTAGCGACCTAAGAATGTCCCGCATCTCGCATTCGCATCCCGCACCAAAAAAAGACACGCGTTCGTAGTTTGGGCGCCATCATTCAGCCAAAAGCGGGCCGCTGCTTGCTAGTCATATTACGGTCAGCTGTTGACTTTTGCGGCAAGTAACGATGCATCAAATACGGTCTACCATGGCTTGACCTCCGTGTCAGACTAAGTTATGGGGCCGCGCGTTTGGAGGTCCGAAAGTTGAGGTGATGTGAGGGCCAGTCCAGGGTTTCAATAAGTTACGGTCGTCCGAGGCCCGATCAACCGTGGTCGGACTGCGCAGTCGAAGCAGGCCAGAACTACCCGTCTACCTATATTGAACCGAGCCTTGGATACAACTTCTACGTTCATGACAAAACCGAGTTTACTATCGTTCCAGGAAGTCGGAGAAAGCCCGCTCAGCAGCCCTCGTGAGGTTGAAGTGATCCTGGCCGCGTTTAAATGCGCTACGCTTCGGTCTATTAGCTTACTTCATAGACTGGTGAACAACCAGTAGAGCCAGGCCTGTCTGTATGCATCAAAAAAAGTAACTGCACGTGGATATCAAGGTGAGCGGTTATAAATGGGTCCATCCATATGTGTGCGGGTTTTGGAATCAAAAAGCTACTGCTCTCTGGGGAGAAAAATGAAGTACCGGAGCCGAGACTTGAACTCGGGACCTTCTGTGCACGCGTAATCTACTCCTGAAGAGTGGATCTGTTAGACAGACGTGATAACCAACTACACCACCCCGGCTTTTTCCAAGATTTGGCTTGTTTGGAATATATTTTGATCCATGACTTAACCCCGAGATGCTGCTCTATCGCCGACGCGGATGCGCTCCGATGGCTGGCCGGTCCCGGGGCCCAAGATGCAAAGAAGCGTAGCCACGATTTGGCCACGAAGAAGAGGCGCTATGGACACACACGAATGACGACGACTGAAACGCTAGCAAACGGCGTGACCCTAGACGACAGCGCCGAGGAATCTTAGCCAGAATTTTGACATGCGGAGACCACAGCTGTATTATTTCCTCCGACGCCAGCCAACCACCAGCTACGCCGGCCAGGCCTCGCCAAGACAGTAGCTTCCCGCGTCTTCCACATTTTACAGTAACGTAGCAGTTGCAGCCAACCTAGCTCGTGACAACTGGACGAGAGCCATTATTTGACCGTATGTCTCCCCTTTCCTTCTTCCCCAGACCCGCGCTGCCCCCGAATCCGAGCTTCCGGAAGAACACAGGCTCATGGACTATACATAGGACCGTCCCCAAATCCTACCATTCATAGTGTCTGCTAGATTACACGAGGGAAGACTGTCGACCTCGGAGAAGGAGTCGCGAAAATTGCCAACTTGTGAGGGGACGCCTGCTTCACCAATCTGGTCAATCTTGCCGAGATTCGTGAGTTCGGAGACTCTGCCAGGCCAGGACTGTTCGCCCGTCAAAGGATCTATCAGCTCCGGTACTGGCCAAATCGACATCATAATATCTTTTCAAATTTAGCTCATCCACTCTATCTCTATACTTCTCGGGCCGCCACTAAAAGACCATGAGCGATAGTTCAACGGTACCACATTCTACACAATATCAGACCTATACTGTCACTGACTCGTATACAGCACCAAAAGGACAACCTTGCCCGTATCCGAGACAACCAGCGGCGCTCGCGTGCTCGTCGCAAGGAGTACTTGCAAGAGCTGGAGACCAAATATCGAAATTGTGAACAAAAGGGCGTCGAAGCCTCCGCTGAAATCCAGGCTGCAGCGAAGCGAGTACTCGAAGAAAACAGGCGGCTTAGGGCGCTGCTCCGTCAGCAAGGGCTCTCTGAAGAAGAAATCGACTGCTTTGGCGACTCGGACTACTCAACTAACCAGCCTTCTGCCAACGCTCAGACCTTGGACAAGATCCTTGGTTCGAGAAGATCTTGCAGCAGCGGGGGTTGTCCAGGGAAAAGCCCTCCTGCCCAAGAGCCTGCTGCAACATTACCAATACCGAGGCCTTCGATTTCGCGAAGCAGTCCAGCGTCCGGCCCGGCCGTCGCCATCTCCAACGCTAAACCTTCCGCCACGACGAACGCGATCCCTTCCTCGACAAATCCTCCGGCGCTGTATCCTCCGAATCCTCAGTACCCTCCCATTACGAACAACAGTAATGCTATCATGATTTACGACACAACAAATCAATACCCGCCATTCCAGTACTTCGGTGATGCGGTCTCTGACGGGTGGTCTTTCCCGATGGACTCCAACATTCCACCACATCAACATCAACATCAACATCAACAGCATCAACAGCAACAGCAACAGCAACAGCAACAGCAACAGCAACA